TAATATTTTACGTGTTATCATCCACGTAAGCGCATACTGGCTACTTCGGCCACAACCCCATTGTATGTTTTTTGAGAAAAAAAGGCGAGCTTTTAAAACTCACAATAGCACTGGAGCTTGCACATCATCGCTGATTGTGATGTCGCATATCTTAATCGAATTTGGGAGATGGTCAGAGCCTTTGATATCGAGAATTCTGATGTAAAGCATGAACTTCATACATTGTCGACTACGACACGTCCGAATATTTATATGAGCTTGCTTATAGGTTTGCTTGTGACATAAAGATAACGATGAGGTATGCTATTGAAAACGGCCGGAAAAATCGCAGTGACTTCTGCTTAACAAGAATCATGCATGTTTTCGTTCTATATTACTTGAACCCAATGCCGTGTTTTTCAGATAATAATTATCTTACCATGGGAGAACATGTTTTCAAATATCTGGTAACAAGTTACAGAGGCTAAGCGCATAGCGCAATGGCAGCGCGTCAGCTTTGCAAGCGAAAGGTCCTAGATTCAATCCCCGGTGTGTCGACATATGCGCTCGACGATTAAAGGCAAGCTCCAGTCGCAATACCAGCTCGCTTTGAACACATTTAGCTTAGCCCATTCTTTGCATAACGATATGTATGATGTTGGCGAGGCCAAGCCACTTGCGCTTATCCTTTTGGTTATCTGGAATCGGCCTGTTCACAATGGTCTTGACTTTAGCGGGATCCGCTCAAGGGCACGTTTCCCAATCAAGCATCTTAAAATTCGCGCTGAAGATGCACTCATCAGCATTGGCACACAGCTTGTTCGTGTGCATGCACTCTCAAATGAACGATGTGGTTCTTCATATCTGGTCTCCTGTGGACGAAGATGCCGTCGAAGTATGTCTGTGCATACGCTCGATGGGGTCTAAATGATCGCGGCTTAAGCCGAATAAATGTTGCTGGTGCAGCTGACATCCCTTGTTGCATCACCAGCTCACTCCCAAAGTATCCCGCTCAAAAGTACTCCCCGCTGTTAGCAGAATGTCACTCACTCTCATGAGCGATTGGTAATACCATCGACCAAGTCGAGTGCGCTGTACCTTGTACAGCCAAATATATTGTTCTGGAGAACACCCTACTAGGAAACGGCGTTTGAGCCGAAATTTAGCTTATTTTAAGTGAGAACGATACGCCACTTGCCGTTCGGTTGCCAAACATAAAACATGGGTGTCGAATGGGGAGGTTTGCTCGCACGCATGAGACCAACTCTCTAGCATCGATGTTGCTGCCCCACCCAGCATCTGAATATTCCTCTAACTACAATATTGTCTATGCCTTGGTAGACTATACTGGTTGAGCGTATATTCATCAGGTGGTGTAGCATGCGCGTAATTGAGTTCCAATGTTGTAGTCTGGAATACTCGTGGCATACATACGTATGCAACATTCTGTCGAGTATATCACTGCTGGCATCCAGCCTTTCTAGCTGACTTACTTAGGCATTGACATTGTCAACACCCAGCGTAACGTTGCCTGCAAGCAAACTGATTAGAATGGCAGTAATGATAACCAGCTGTTTCATTTGTGAGCTGCTTTCAGCACACTCCACACTATTTTCTGGTTCAAATTTATGTTAACGATCAGAGAATATTTACGACAAAATCAAACACATACTATTGCTTGAACCCCCTTCGCAAAAAGCTGTGCCTTGTACCGCACATCAGTGCAATTTTAGTCACACCATTTTGGTCCAACGTTGCGATTTTCACCTCTTCGACTTAATACCCATTGGTATTGTTGCTTATGGGAGTGACACTCAGCTTCGATAGCTATACGCCAGTTTGCTGCATCGTCGCTTGTCATTGCTCGGGCATATGAAGTCGGCAAATCAGTATCATCCATACTTTTCACCTCGTACACAAGAACAGCTCTGGTAAAGAGTTTGGCTTCGTGAATCCTGGCGCATTTCAACGTCGAAGGGCCATCACTTACTTCCGTTGCCTTTTCATCTTTTCAGCTGATCCATAGCACGAGCATCGGTTCATGTCTTCGTCTTGCTGCTCCACATCAGGCCAAAACGCTTATCGATCTTCTTGACGCTTATGAGTTGATAAGCGAAACTGTAATCGCGCATGCGTGTCGTAAAAATTGCCTACTTTGCCAGCGTGACAGAATGGGTCACTCTTCCCTCGGCAAGTTGAGCACGCGAAAATCCTGGATAACAGATAAACTTGCGTTTAAAGCTCCTGGGTTTGAGCTTGATCTCTTTGCATCGTTAACAGCAGCGTAACCAGTGACCAAAACACGCGAAAGTAATATATTCATCAAAAACAACTCATATGGCGGGATGC